CCAGATATTATCGGTTCATTCTCCGGAGCTCGTGCTGCTGCTGTCGCCGCTGCTGCACCGTGCACGGCCGAATGGAAGTTTGTCCTCATTAACAAGCGAGCGAGTCCACACAGTCCGACTGAAGCATTCAACACGAGGCCGAAGAGCACGGAGGAGACTTTAAAGAGAGCGCGCGTGCATCCGCAGACACCGAGCAGAAGCCGGGCTGGAGTGAAGGGTGGGAGAAAAAAGAGAAAGAGAAAGAAAGAAAGAAAGCCGCTACCGGCCTCTGCTACTGCTGCGGCTTTAAAGGGGAATCTGCGAGAATGTCATGAGCGCGGTACGAAAACTAGAAGGCGCCAAATTTCTGATCCCGTGTTTGCTTTTCAAACTTGATATAATATCATACGGCAACACCCTCCAGTCTGCTCGATCCTAACAAATCAGTCTCTGGATTTTTTTTTTTCATTTAATTACACAGTCATACTCCTCCTCTTCCAGCAAGCCCCTCTCCGTGTCCACAGCCCACCTTCTGCTCTCCCTCTCTAACCGCACAGTTTACACAGGATTATTCCCACTTTTTTCTCTCTTCTCTGCACTGCGATTTTATGTGTGGACGATTGTTGGCTCGGCAGAGAAAGACTGGCCGCTTATAACATGTTTTCTTTAGGACAATGCACAGCCTGCACAGACATTTTAGACAAATCAAGCTTTTAATCATGGAGAAACCACAAAGCGTTTGCAGATAACGCCCAGCAAAACTACACACGGTCTAGGCAAAAGAGAAATACATTTGATAACGATCTGCGCAACATCATTACAGCTGACACGTGGAATGCGCATTGTGCAATATTTCACTGTAGCCATATTCGTTGTAGGCAAATGTAGCGTTTCAACAATGTTTCCCCATCATAAACACGTGCTTTCAGAACTGTGCTGAAGTTACCGGGCAAACTGGACCAGTCAGCCACCTTCGTTTCAGGTCTACAGTATTAATCATCGCAGTTCATTAACAATATGATTTATGCAGCCGGTAACTTCTCAGATTTCTCTCAGTTTTCTTCAGGGCTCTTCTGTATGTGCTGCTCTGTATACCATAATGACTCAAATAGCCCTTTTCTGGCACCCTACATCTACACGATCACCCCCCCGCCCCCTCTAATTTTTTTCTGAGTGTAGTACTTTCAGCTCACAAAGTGACTAAAAACAGGCAGGGTATCTAAAAGACAGCAATCAAATCATGTAAGTCGACCGGCTACAAGCTTTTCTGACCACTAGAATGTCACTACGGTTCGACTTTGGCGCCCTTTCATGAGAGGAAAAAAACTTGGACGGTTGTGTTGTGTATCCCAGCGGTCTGCGCGCTCCCGGGACCGGAACGAGCACAAGAACCGGTTTCGTTTGACTCACAGCACGCCAGGACGTAATCTTGTGTCGAAGTCGACCGTTCAGTGCAGCCTGCCACACCCCACCCCACACACCTCCACACCTCCTCTCCTCACAGAGCAGGACTTTATGGAGCGTGCTGGGTGAATGTTTGTAGCCTCGCTCGCGTTAGCCTCGGTGCGATATTAGCCTGTGGTTTCACTCAAGGTCAAACGGACTGAAAGTGAGCGAGTTCGGTCTCACAGACGGAGCACCGAGTGAACTGTGGCTGTTATACCTGCACAGAGATAGTTACTTTAATAAGAGTAAAACACCGACAGTTCCCCCTGTGACTCGCAGTGACACACACGCAGGGCTTAAACGCAGACCAACAGTGAAAACACTCAACTGGATAAAACTCAGTCACAGATTTGTCTAGACGAGAGAGAAAAAAAACAAACAAAAACAGTCAAACAGTCAAACAGTGAACTACACAATCCTGATACTTGGCTAAAAACACACGACTCGGTCCGAGTTTCTCTCTCTCCTCTCTCTCCTTCAGTTCTGCACTGTGCCAGAAAGTGTGTGAGAGGGGGAAGAGTTAGCTAAAAGAGCAGGACACACGCCAAGAGCTGCTCAGCTCTTTTAGGAGCAAACTCTGCCACCGACTTCTGACACGACGATATGACCCACATAGGAAAGCTGCCAACACACAACATAAACAGTCCGACATCTCCCCTCCACACACACTCACACACACTTACACACACTCACACTCCCACACACATACACAGACACACACACCGGCACTTCTCGAAGACCCGCTCAGTTCAGCTGCGGGGCTGCAGGCTGCCGGGGAGCCGCGAAACAAACTCCAGAAAAACACAGAAAACAGAGCAAATTTCACAGAGCGACAGTAAGACACCACACTCCGCGTTAACGTACCATTGCACTGTACTGCATGGATTTAAACGGGGACTCCGGGAGGCCGAGGGAACTGAAGCCGGTACCTTCACATGTCTCAAGTTCAAAAACAGAGAAGAATGTGCTTTTTAGTTCTTTTTTCTCTTTTCACGCTGTAGTGCTCTTCCCAAAAAAATGAACACCGGAAGAGGATTCTTGGCAGACAGGCGGCAAAATCAAGTCAGCGAGCACCTCTGATTTTCTTTTTTTTATCTTCCTTCCTCTGCGAGTCAGATTCTGGCTGCTTTCAGTCGTGCGGTTGAACGCAGTCCAGCAGATTCAGTCTCTCTCTCTCTCTCTCTCTCTCTCCTCTCTCTCTCTCACTCTCTCTCTCTCTCTCTCTCAGTTTCTCTCTCTGGCTCGCGCAGCTGCAGCCAAACGGAGCTGCGCAGCTTTGGAATCTCATTCTCGGCTCTGATTGGCTACGGCGCCGGTCGGCGCTGAGCGCGCCGCTCACTTCCGCTCCACGGCCGGCGGCTCTATTTGCATATGAAGAGGGAAAAGAGAGAAGCCGAGCGGAGCTGATCCACAGATATACACATATACACTAACACTGCAGATCACAGCACAGTCCAAGAGACAAATTACTGCAAGTGTTAGTTTAATGAAGATATAACAAAGTCATATCAAACCATATTAAACAAAAAAAAACTACTAATAATAATGTCATTTCCATAAACTAATTATAAAATGATAATATAATAAGAAACATAATTGATTTTTATTTATAACAATATTATATATATAACTATTTAAATCTCTGATATTATATTTATATAATAACAACAACGACTATTATAATTATTACTATTAATGTTATTGTTATTATTATTATTAGCATTCTAATAGCAAAAATAGTTATTATTGTTGTTTTTATTGTAGATTGTAAATTGCTATAAACTTATAATAAAAATATTATAAACAATACAATATTTTATATAAAATACAATATATAAATGCATGAATAAATTATAAATTCCATTATTTGTTAACAATAACAAAAGATACTATTTATTATTATTACTGAATTATTATAACCACCACCACCAACAATAACAACAACAACAACAACAATAATAATAATAATAATTATTATTATTATTATTATTATTATTATGTTCTGTTTTCCATTTTGTTCAGTCTTTATAATATTGTAATAATGCTGTAGCAGTGATGCTGTGAGCATACTGCTGGCAGAGACACTGTATGTGTTTGAGAGCACAATGATGGCATTGGTCCAGACCACAACAACCACCATCTCACAGCCACACTTTCTATTGCAGCAGAGCCATTAAACACGCCTGACCATGATGAAAATCTACACACATCAGAACACAATTAACGTTTGTAGTGGCACCAACACAAATTCCTGCGTATACACACTGTGTGTGTGCGTATGTGTGTGTGTGTGTGTGTGTGTGTGTGTGTGTGTGTGTGTGTTGTATAAAGGCTACTGTGGATTTTTTTTTTTTCTTCAAATTATTTGCTTCTATTAAATTAAACCTAAAACAGACCAATTAAAACCTCTCAGTCTCCACATTGTGAGCTCGTTTTAGAGGTGAGTACATGCCAGCTGAAGATCTGCATGCACACATTTGTAAATATGAACATAAGAGCCTCCAGTGAACTCTTACATAGTTCACAGTGAACTGTTTTACAGATTAGTCCGGTGCACTTTAATGCGGTCAGAGTACATGACTGGATATTAGATTCTGATCGATGGTGAGCACAGCTGTAAGCACACAGCAGCACTCATGCACAGTGCTAAATCAACACATTCAGCATGCTTCTGAGGACAGTATAACTGCACTGCTCTCAGGTTTACACTGTTAACACTGATGATCTAAACATGCACAAAGTCTCGTTATCTCTCTGACTGCCATTCCTGCAGATTAACCTGCAGATCAGTGTGGACAGATAGTGTCCACGTCTCCTTTTGCCTTTTGCCAAAATGAAATTGTCAGATTCTGTCTTTAAAATGTATTTAGCAGAGAGTATTAAAAAAGTGAAAGTGACATTTATGAATAAGCACTTGTTTTGTATGTTTGAAGTGCATGAACAGAATGTATCTAATTATTCCTGCAATAATCAAAACGCTTTAAAGGCAATAACATGCTTTTATTCTGCCCAGTTAGGCAGTACGTTTATAACACACTGGATTCTATAAATGACAACAATTACAACCCAGTGACCAACAGAAACAAATTTAAAGGCCCTTTTTATTTTATTTTTTGTTTTATTTTTTAAAAGTTCGGACGAAAAACTTGCACTGTTTCGTCTCGCTAATGACGTCTGGGAAATGGGACATGTAAACCTTACAGCGTCGGTGGCAATATGTGCCACAGACCCGATGTAAACAAAGAAAGAACGACAAGCTTTAAAAGTCAATGATCGCTCCTTTAATGAGTGCTCTCTATACCTGTTATGTAATCTGACCTCAGATTTGTGCAGTGGGCCAACGGGGCAATAGTTATAAAAACAAACCACATTTGAGGCTACACGGGCTGCAGTGCGTGGCACACAGTCAGATTCTTTCTGCTCACCACACACACACACAACCACAAACACACACACTCAGTGAGAGAAAGAGGGCCATTAGAAAAGGAAAAGTTCCTTTTTCAGACACTGAGGAGCAGAGGAGACGCCAGAAGAATTGAGATTTTGGCTTATCTGCAGCCTGTGTCGTCTGGTCAGCATATCTAAAATCTCCGAAGCGCCAGAGAAAAAAGTGCCATTAGTGTCTGATATATTGAATTATGTCCCGTTTATCCGCGTTATTCAAGTGCAAATGATCGCGCTCGTGTCCAGAAAAGGCTTGGCCACAGGATGTGCTGGAGGGAGGCGGAAAAAGTCTGCGCTTCCTCGGCGCAAACTTGACGAGCTCGACGACGCGTGAAGGAAAAAGAAGCGAAAAGGAAAAACTTTAAGCGAACTACTCGCTTGTTTAGCTGAATATAGAGTTGACAACCTATGGACGTGTTACTTTGTGGTGGGTGTTTTTTCACTCGGGTTTGAGGAGCTGCCGTGACTTCTCTGGACGGCTTGTGTTGTGTTGCGAGCAGCTGTGTGGACTGTAAGGAGCTCCAGTCTCCAGACTGAGGTACTGAGGGACACTCCGCTCCGCTTTACATCAGCGCTCAAGAAGACAAGACGAATGTTCACTTTACACACATTTTAAAACACAGATAGACATGGCGAGTCATGCTACGAGCTTTTTTCACTTACGTGCCTCAAAACTCGGACTAATCAAGTCCCAGACAGCATATTAGCTTCAGCCGTGTTAAGAAAACACCAGCCGCTATTCATCTAATTTGACCATTTAAGGCATTTAAAGGACACCGTAGGCTGTTGTTTCTTCGCCAAGGCTGCACTTCATTGGTCCAGATCTGCACCAGTGGACACTTCAGTGTCAGGCTGCTTACAACGACCTGTAACAGAAAAACTTCACCTCTGCTTCACTTTTAGCTTTTTGATTCCAGTTGATCTAAGAGGGAATAAATCTGCTTTCATAGTAGCTTTGACTGTGAGCTTAAAATGATTTGGTAAGTGAATTCGTTTTGAAGTGTAGTGTACAGAAATGCTCACACATTATAACAGCCTACATGTTTTTTTGTTTTGGTTTGTTGGTTTATTTTGTTTTAATGCTGTTTATTGGTGTCCCAGAATTGATAATAATATAGGTACTTGAGTTATCTGTAGGACAATGTATTCTGAAACAGTTCTAAAGTATCTCAACCAGCTAAGATTGACAGACAAAGCCATTTTTTTCAGCAAGGCAAGCTGATGTGTTTTATTTTTCAGGTAAAGTGCAGGACACTTCTGCTGGAACTCCAAACACAGAACTGTCGCTCCTGCCTCAGTCATGTGCAGTTTCTCTCTTCTTCGCACTTGCAGCAGCTATAAAGGCAGACAGAGCATTCCCTGTAGGCCTACAACTCCTTAATTGCCACACATTAAGATCATTCAGTGGAGGAGCCAAGTTTAAACGATAACATAGGAGTCAGGTTTTATTTGATATTATTTTATTTTTGCTTTAAATTTTGTTTCAAAATTCTAATTATTAAACATTAATTTAAAATTTTTATATTACAAGCTTAAGTCGGCCCTTGTCTATAGATTTAAATCAGTGTTTTTCTTATATTTATAGATCTTGGTAGCCTTGTCATAGTAGATATAAAAATAATTCTAAATGTACTCATTTTTATTGCATTTTTTTTTTGGACACATGGGCTGTCATAATTTTTTTATTTGCATGTGCGACTGTGAACATGTCTTTCTGTAGGTATATGTGCATTGTATAAAAAAGAAAAAAAATCAATAAATTAGGTAACTTTACTAGCCCTTATTTATGAATATGGTTTGTTTGTTTTTTGTGTGTGTTTGTTTTTAAATAACTTCATTTTATTTGTATCTGAATGCTAAATATTAAGCTTAGGATTAGGATTAGTTTAGGTTATTTTTAAAATTATGTTATTGCAGATATGGTTAAGGCCTCACAAGAGTGGTAATACATGCGTGTGTTTTAAGACATTAATGGACCTAGATAAGGTAAGTTAACATGATGTACTACATGTAGACCACTGAATTTGATCATCAGCTAAATAGGAGGGAAAAACAGAAAGAAATAGTTTGTAAAGCTGTATTTGGGCCTTTATGGTTAAATGTATTACAGCACTACAATTATGTGTCTACCATGAGAGCTTGGCTGAAAGGTCTCTGTGCCCACCAGAAATTAATATGTGTGGGTGAATATTTTGTCTCGTTTCCTAAATTGTAGAACATGATCACCCACTTGGTCAAAAAATGTGCTGTTTCTTGAACTGATGCAGGAGGTTCAGTGAAGGTGCGCAGTTCTCTGCTGTGGATGAGTGGAGGTGGAGGCTAGTGGACGGAGGTGATTTCTTGGGTGCAGACAGCTTGCTGTAGTCTGAACTCTGGAGTATTGTGCACACGCCTCAGTCGGGTGTTCATGTTTTGGTCACCACTTAAATAGACTACTAAGAAGTTATTTTATTACCACTGAGGTGTTAAATTAAATCGATCAGCGGATATAAGCAAAAGCAATAGCCATGTTATGTTCGCGGTCTGTGTTTTCAAATACGTTTTTTATATTAAAGAAGGTCCACGTTGACTGATTTAAGACTTCTTTTAGCTATATTTGATTTTTTAGATTTGCGTTATAACAGTAACCGACAACGTTTTACAGACTGGTACATTAACTAATATCTGTCTGTGTCCAACAAAAGTCTGAACGAAGGCAACTATAATAGAACATACACACAGAATAACGCAGAGGAGTCAGCGCACCGCCACTCGCTATCAGCCTACTTTTATTTATTTCTTTATTTTGGTACATGATGTACTTTGTGCTCAACATAGGCCAAGGAGCCAAGTGAGGTATGAATACTGTCGCATCTTTATGTAAATATTAACTTGCAACGTTTAACTCTGACCTACACAGCGAGTGAAGCGACGTAGGCAGGAATAAAAACTGAAGAAATGACTAACTTCCTCAGCTGCTCGGTAGCTCGCCGTGATCGTATAGTGGTTAGTACTCTGCGTTGTGGCCGCAGCAACCCCGGTTCGAATCCGGGTCACGGCAAGAGAGATCGCACGACAGCAAAACGTTTTCGTTTTATCAACTGTATGAGCTACACATTAACTTTTAACCTGGTGAATAAGATAACAAAGCCAGAAGACACTCGACATACGGCAGAACCTATTGTTTATGAACGAATGGGACCTAAAGCGAAACGTCACAATTATCAAACGTTATACGTCAGAATGGTCTGTATGAGCAGTTCTTTTGACTTCAGCTAGTTCGTTTGATCTAAATGGTTCGATTATTTGCGTAAGAATGGAGACGATTGCGTCACCTGATGCAAATTCTAAGTTTTGTTTATTTCAAAAGTAGACAAAAGTGTGTGACGTCTTTAATTAGGCCTCCAGTTCGTTGACCTCTGGGTACAGTGATGTTCCATGTGTATAATTACCTCTAAAGATATCTTCAGACATGGTTTAACGAGAACATTTAACGTACACAAAGGTCTTGCAGTTTCTCACTGAGTCCACAAGGATGCGCTCGGTGTGTGGAGCGAGTTTACACAGCCGCTCAGTGGCTCGCCGTGATCGTATAGTGGTTAGTACTCTGCGTTGTGGCCGCAGCAACCCCGGTTCGAATCCGGGTCACGGCAAACACAATAAAAGCGGGTGAACTTTTGTGTTGTTGTTGTTGTTAGTGCCATTAAAGTATTAACTCATCGTGTAACTTACATAAACACGAGCCGTGGACTGTAGGCTAATCACTTATTAAATAATGTGAGAGAAACTCTTAGGCTTACTGTAACAGTGACAAAATAAACCATATTTTCCTATTTGTGCGAAATACTTGGGCAACTTAAAAAAGCAGCTCGTGTAATTAGCGCTCTGCGTTGTGATTTGTACCAAAAGAAAACTGAAAAGAAAAAAAAATGAAATCTGCGTAGTTCTCTGACATAACTAGATAAGACTCATAAATACTCGATTTGGCTACTGCAGGCGTTTATAATTAGCTGGTCTGACGGGTTGTGCTGAACCTGGAAAAGCACCAGACTTGGCTTTGCATAGATGTGGTTTGAATAAAACTGGAGCTGGAAGAACACTGATGTACAAGAACTCATCTAAAGTAAACTCTTCTTAGGTCCATTATTTCCTCTCAGTCTCAAAGGGATCTGTGAACAAATACAAAGAGTACTGAGAGCGAAGTTATATTAAGCTGTTTTACACTTGTTCTAACAACCCATGAGTAGATCTTCACAATTGTGCTCTCTAGGAATTCAGAAGTGTGCCAGAATGCAGCACTAGAGGGCGACAGAACACCTACAAACTCTTACTACTGAAAAAGCGTGCACTTTGTTAAAAATGTGGGTATTTGGAAGTGTTTCTGTTTAACTGATAGGAGAAACTTTATGAGCAAACTGAATCAATGAGTTACTACATTTACAGTGCAATGCTGGAGTACTTCGTCCTTTTATTTTCAAGCACAGAGGTCACTTGGACAATGGTGAACAATACATTGAATTGACTTTGTACATGCTGTGTTAGCATTACCAACCATTTGACGAGTGAGTTTGTACCAGTTGATATTTCTTAAATGTAACTGTTTTTCCATTGACCTCGACTTGATGAGCAAAAAAAAAAAGTACAGATAATAATTGTTAACAAAGATAATAATGACCTATTCTGTCATCTAATGAAGGCTCAAAGACTATGACCAGAGGTTCAAACTGACCAAACAACCAAATATCTGTAGTTTAGAGCAGAACAGAAAAGTTTACATGTTTAGTATCTGACAGTTAACCTGGCGATCAGTTTGGGATCATCAACAAAACCACAGCAGTTTCCTTGATTAAAATACAAGACATATGCATGGTGAAGCAGAATATACAGATGGCCTTAGAGACAAAACGTAAAAACACTATTTTACCATAATAGTAATCTAAATACTGCCTGAAAGAGATCAAGTTTGTGTGAGAGTGAGTGTTCCCACATACAGTGGGAAATCCTTTGCACCTGCTGGAAACCATGAAAGATGCCTCTTGTTCCTTGAAATCACTAACTAGGCAGTCAAGTGCAAGAGCAACAAAGAGCTGTATACAAATAAACAAGGAGAAAGCACAGAGTCAACAAGGAACTCTGCCAAAACCTCTGCACCTCATTTACACACACATGCACACACACCACACAAAGCACAAAGAAAAAGACAGCAGGCCTTCACAGAGAAGCAAGACAAAACTGCTGTGTACTCGCTTGCTTTTTGAATGTATGCCTCACTTCAGTGGGTCTTGATTGACATGACAAGCATGCACCTATGTCACATGAAATGAGCATTTCTGCAGGGCTTTGTTTCTGTCTGGTCGCAGAACATGTGTTTGTATTATAGTCGGTATCTTAATTAACCACAATCATAACAGAACAACAGCTGCTCAGTTATGTATTTGATATGAAATATTTGAAGTGCAGTTCCCAAGTGAAAATTTTTAGTAGTACATCTTTCATTGGGTAATGATTACTCCTGATATATATGTATTAACACCGTCATATAAATTCTTTTATTTTCTTTTTATAGTGTGTTATGGCAGTGACTCCAGTTACTCTTTGCATTGTGTTAAAATTAACAGAGCAACTGAAATCGTCCAGAATTATTTGGAAAAAATCATGTTACATTAATTTCCTTTACATGTTATAAGAATGTTTTTTGCTGTTTCTGTAAATTTACCATTTAAGATATGCAATGATCAATGATATATTACTTTATGAACAGACGTTTAGACAAATAGTTGGATTAATGGATGGACAGACAGACAGACAGACAGATATGTATATATATATATAATGGTCCCATTTTTTGTGGGGGGGGGGTTCCCACAAGGAAGCATCACCTGAAGCATTTGCTGAAAGTAATCTGAAAGACATATCAACATAAAGTACTGTAAATTACAGTAAAGTAATTTTTAAATGTACACAATTAACCCATGTTTTATTTTAGCTAAATTTGTGTTCAAAAACACCTGTAATGTAGGCCTGTGCCAAAATCTAGACGCCAGCTAATAACCCAAAACGTTACACAACCACCAGGCCTTTTGTCTCTTTCTGACATGAACCTCACAAACACAACCAAGTCGAGTTCGTCATTGGTTAGAAAAAGCAGCATAAGTGACTGTTAGTAGTGTTAAAGAGATTAACTCTGGGCAGTATGATATTAGGAGCAGGGGTGGGAAGTAACTAATTATAAGTACTTTATTACTGTACTTAGTAAGTTAAATACTTTGTTACTGTACTTTTGTAATTCTGTATACTGTAAATTGAGATAATGTAATTTACTATATAATGTATCTGTGCTTTACCTGAGTATTTCTGTCATTTAATAGCTTTCAATTTTACTCACTACATAAAAAAATATCTGTACTTTCTGCTTACAGCAAACCACTTCAAACCAGGCTCATGACTCTCTCTTTTATTTAGCTATTTCAATCAAGAAATTGGCATATGCTCAAAAACTAATAATTATTAAATAAATAAATAAATAAATAAATAAATAACAACCCAAAAACCAAAACTCCTATTAAAATCTGTCATTTGTATGATTATGCAGATGATGCATGTAGGTCTAGCATAAACCATTACATATGCTTAACGTAGTAATAATAATAATAATAATAATAATAATAATAATAATAAATGACATTTGAATAGCGCTTTTCTAGGACCCAAGGACACTTACGGTTGCATACATCTAATTAACGCTCAATGAAGAACACCTGTAATGACACACCTAAACATCTTTTGTTAAATAAATACTTTTAC